GAGATTAGAGAGATGTGATTCTAAAAAAAAGGATCACACCCTAATCTGAAATGGCTTACAAGTCAAAACGGCGAAATAAGTCGAAGGCAAAAAATGACACTCTCGCAAAAAGACGAGTCAAATATTATAAAGCCAAGGTATTGGAAACCTACATCTAACAACGTGCAAGAACCTGGATAGAAAACGGGTTAAAAATAAAAAGCACACTGCAGGACTGTGGCTTCTAGCCGAGGCATAGGAAAATGGAAGGACGCTTCCGAATCCTAAATGTTGTCAAAATAAACAACATGTGTACAAGCTGTGATAAATGAAATCAGGCTTGAAAAATAAGGGGCAGATTGGTACGACCTTGATCAAGTCACCATGACGCCTCAAATTTGAAAACCTAATTAAGAAAATTGGGTTAAAAGCAAAAGCGAAATTCGCGTGAAAGACCTTGGCTACGTCATTTTGTTCAGTTAATGCTGAAAAGCTAAATCTGAATCAATAAAGCCACAATGCAAGAAGTTGGGCTCAAAGCGAAAGCCTCGGAAGGAACAGCTACGAGCTCAATGTTAAAAGGAGGCAAACACTGCCTCACAAAAGCACCACCTCAGCCAAAAAAAGTTGAGGGAGAAATATGGAAACAACATATTCAATACTCGGTTCACTAAAACCAGCTGAATGAATGACAGAGATAATATCTGCAGTCGCTGACCCAATCAAGTCGACCAAGAAAAGTTCCAACCCAAAGAAAATTGCTTCAATAAAGATGCCAAGACAAAGCAAGAATTCGACTGCTAACTTGAATAAAATATGCAAAGGAAATTCAAATGCAGAGATTACTGCTATTTCATCCCGGCAGCCTGGACAACCAAACTACCGAACTTGGGGGCAACTTTTAGCGGGGTTACATGGATGAGGCTTAGGGGAAACTCGCCAGTTGGATCCCAACAACTCAAGGTCGTCTATTCCCCGGTTACACATGTGCAATATCTTTTCGGGTTCATGCATAACTCGTCCTCATAATTGACAAGGGAAAATCATTCCTGGTTCCAGAAGAAAGCTACAAGCTCAGAACGTGTGTGTTTGGAATGATGGTTGAGGGCAACTCGCCAGTTGGATCCCAACCACTCAAGCTCATCCCAAACTCGGTATAAGAATACGTGAAATATTTTTCATGGTTTATGATCAACCCGCCGAGATAAAGGGCAATGAGGACCCCGGTTTAAAAGCCTGAGATTTAAGGAACATATATGCAAAAAGTCTACAAAAACTCAAACGCTCTCAACTCAGCAGAAAACCTAAAGCAGAAGGCAAGACAATTAACCCCGGTAGCCTGGACAACCAAACTACCGGGCTGAGGGGCAACTGTTATGGACCTGACAAAGGCCTATATTCTAGAAGGTCCAATAAAGGACAACACAAAAAGGAAGGGAATCTTCTATTAATGATGATCTTATCCAGACAGCTAAGAACCCTACATTCTAGAAGGCCTAAATAGGGCTAACAACTAAGAGAGAATTAATGAAACATTTCTTAATTATGCTAATTCTACTACGACAGTAATGGATCAACAATTGGACCCCCAATGCGCACAAAACGCGAAAACGACATAGAACGGCTGCGGCACGCTAAAGCACGCGACCAGTACCACATGTCAGAATGAAATGAGTACCACTCATAAACCAACATATAAGACAGAATACATACATATACAACTCTCAACCGATTTAAACGCCTGATGCTTGGGGGCAACTCGCCAGTTGGATCCCAACTGATCAAGCACATCCGTTACCCGGTTGCCTATGTAAAAGTATCTCGTCGGGTTCATGCACAAACCCGTCGTACACGTAACCAGAAGGAAAAATCAAGAGATGCATATAAGGTATGATGCTTGGGGCAACTCGTCAGTTGGATCCCAACTGATCAAGCACATCCCAAACTCGGCATAGGGATACATGAAACGTTTTCCCGGGTGGATGCTCAACCTGCCGATATAAGGAACGAGGAAAAATTGTCCTTAAGATGAGCTACAAACTCGGAATAGGTATAAGGGCTGACGCTTGAGGGGCAACTCGTCAGTTGAACCCCAACTACCCAAGCTCACCCCTAATCCAGAAAAAAGGGGATACAAGAAATATATCACCGGGTTGATGCTCAGCCCGTCGACATAAGGGACACCCCGATGGAAAAAACTCCAGAATATGAGGAGTATGCAAAAAGTATGTAAAAGCCCAAGCACACTCAGCCTAACAAAAAACATGAAGAGACGCATAAGAAAATTCACCCCGGCAACCTGGATGCTCAGGTAGCCTGGCTGAGGAGCAACTGTTATGGACTTGTATAAGGGGCCCATTAAGTGATAGGCCCAATAAGGGGCAATCCAAGATCTGAATCAATGATAACAATCACGGATAGATATCCATCAAGGATACTAATCCTAATACGACAGCATAGCAAGCAGGCGTGGACCCCTATCAGAGGTACCAAAGGCCCATCCATACTACCCACATGTAACCTCCATAAATACAAGGTAAACCCTAAAGGTATGGTAGGCTCTCTCTCTTACTGTTATGCTGTCACTGTGCGCACACAAACACCCCATTGGCTAACGCCATTATAGTATTCTGCGCACAGTGATCTGCGTGACTCAAGGTTATCTCCTTCATAGATACCTTGGAGAGGGCACTAGATCCAAGAGAAATATACCATCCTATTGGGCTGGACATCTCTGTCCCAAGGACAAAACAACACTCAAATTTGTTAGCTTTGACTAAATTTTTTAACTTATAGATAATTACTAATAGTTTCTAATTTTATTAGTTAGATTTTGAATTGCGATTACTATCTATTGTTGTTGATAGACACTAATACTGATATGTAAAAAAACACATAAAAAATTGGAAGATGTATAACAGATTTATTTTTGATAATAAAGTAGGAAATTTATAAAGATTGTATAAGGATGGTTGATTCCCAAAATAATTGTATTATAAAATTTTTAGAAAAGTCTAATATAAAATTTTCAAACGGTATCAAAGTCTATGATTAAGTAGTAACAAGTTCAATTTTCATTGAATCATTTTTTTAATAAATATCCATCCAGTCCAATGTACTCTTGTGTGAAAATATAATTATGTACAAACTCATTTAATGTGATTTAACAATAGAATATCAATTTAAGTGCTAGTGAGTTTGTTTCTCTTAACAAGAGCTCTTGAGTTTGAGTTCTTGAAATAGAGAAAATGGTATTGGAAGAATCTAATCGAATCAGTGGCGAACCTACACTATTGCCATTGACCGTAAGTGCAGACAATAACTTTTGCAAGTAACTAATTTTTTTTCGGTCGATGAAAAAAAAATTGTTTATAGAGGGGATAATTAGCTTAAGGTGAAACAGGTATTTTGTTGACAGTATACGGTGTTAACTAAAATTCTCCAATAGGTTCATTCCATTCTCCATAAAAAATGCTTTGAACTTCATCGATGCAAAGGCAAATACCACTCTGTATTGTGTGTGTGTGTAAAATGAAGAACCCTAAGATGAAAGGGTGACTACATGATTGATTGTTTGATGATAGGCAAAGGAGAGAAACTCAAATTATTCTCCCCTTTTCTTTAAAATAATTTATAACTTAAAAAAAAAACTAAAATAAATCTGTACAAATGTCACTAGTTTGAATAGTTAGAAATGATATGTATTTGATGATATGTGCAATAAAATTAGATAATTAGGTTGAAGCAAAGAATAGATGTTTATTTTAGTATTAGCTAAAAGAATAGATGGTTATTTATATAACTAAGGAAAGAACCAACTATCTTATAAAATTAGAAGTTGCAAGTTTTAGGAAAATAAAAATAATTTCGTCTATTGATTTTGTGAAATTTTTTTGATTAATTTAATTTTTTATAATTAATATATTTTGATTTTTTTTAATAATCTAATGAGGGAAAACAAAATCTATTGCGAGTGTAAGAACTGATTCTGAGATAATTTTTTTAATGAGCTTGCAAATATTCCTTTTCTTTCTTCAAGTCTCGGTAATTTTATTGCTTATGTAAGAGCTGATTTTGATTTTGTCAAATTAAAAAGAATTTCTACCTTACTTTAAAGATGGTTGAGAAGAGAAAAGATATTATTTATCCATTCGTCTATTTGTTGATAAAGTTGGCACTCGTTCTACCGATAGCAACTGCTAGTGTTGAGCAAGTTTTTTCTGCAATGACTTTTGTTAAGGATAAGTTGTGCAATCGAATAAGTGATAATTGATTTAATGCATTCATGCTAACTTATGTTGAACGTGATATATTTGATAAGATTGATGATGAAGATATAATACAATATTTTCAAGAAATGAAGAATCGAAGAATACTTTTGTAATCGTTCTATTGTAATAGTTTAGTTGATCCTTAATTACTATTTTTTTAGGTTAAATCGAGGTTTTCTTTTCTTTTATTGTTTATAATTTTTTAATGAAAAAATGTTTTCGTATTTTGCCCAAAATAATGTCGTTTTTGGTATTGAAATCTTAAATAAATATAAATATAAAGACTATTATAACTCTGAAATAAATTAAAATTATAAAAAAAACCATGATTTTCGCCTCAAAACGACGTCATATTGGACTTACTGCAGATAACTTATCTGCAATAACTGCAGATAAAGCAAACCCTTTCTAATACATTTAAAACTTTTTTAAATTTTTTTTGGAGCAAACATAAATAATATTTTCTGGATACTAAATCCAATCGTACTCAAACAACTAGACTAATTGAATAATCGATTAACATGAATGTAAAAAAAAAAAAAACAATTGAATTAATCATGTATTTAATTGATTTAACTAATACTTTCCGATAGATCTTCTGCTCATAGTTGACAGTTGGAGCAAGTACGTTTAGCCAATGCCCATTGACTACTTGTAAGTCTTAGATGCTGTCGGTTCTAACAACCACCAATTTGCGTTATAAAAGAGGACAACAAACTGATATCTATTCGTAGTGTGTTGTCCAGAGAAACGTTAGACACATCAACAAATCAACAAAGTACAAACAAGAAAGCATGGATTGCGTGTACAAGAATCCCAACGAACCCATTGAAGTTCGTGTCAAGGACCTTCTTTCCCGCATGACTCTGAAGGAGAAGATTGGTCAGATGACCCAAATCGAACGCACTGTTGCCACCCCTTCTGCTATTAGAGATCTCTCCATTGGTATCCACTCCCAACCTTTCCCTTTTCTTTTCTTTTTTTCTTGTTCAAGCTTGAGATACACGTGCATTTGTGCCTGCGTTTTGTCGTTTTCTGCGGACTTTGAACTTGTAGGAGGTAGAAATGAATTTGAGGGACCCAATTGAAAGTGTGTCTTAAAAATGGGAACCTTTGATGTCTCTTTTTGTATTTGTGCCTCCATTTTTGTGCAAGGTTTGAATGTGTTGGAAGTTGAAATGAATTTGAGGGACCCCAATCGAGAGTTTGTCTTCTTCTTTTCTTTTTCTTTTTTTAGTGAATCCTAATTCCTACCCTAATTATTACCTCTTTCACGCGAGTTGACTCCCCTGCTATTCTCATAAGCTTCGACTCTTTGAGTTGACCTGGGGCTAATCCGGAGTACGGGGTGAGTCAAAGATGAAAATATTTAAACCGTTTCCAAATGTGGCACGTGGAAATAGAACCAAGCCACTTACTCAGCTCTCTTGCTACTAACTAAGCTATTACAATTTGGTAGAGAATTTGTCTTAAAAATGGGAACTTTTGATGTCTCGAGAGTAAATCCTCTCATGCTAAAAAAAACAAACAAACATGATATGATCACGTGGAGAATTATAACCATACAAAGGTGGATTAATGGTAATAAAAGGAAAAGAGAACAAAAATATTAAAATAGATAATTATAAAATTATTACCCTTGATTCACCTTTATTTGTGATTTTTCCACGTGACCTAGTCATTTTTTTTTTTAACATGAAATGATCCATTAGTGTGTTTGTGTCTCCATTTTGTGCAAGCTTTGAACTTGTTGGAAGTTGAAATGAATTTGAGGGACCCCAATTGAGAGTATGTCTTAAAAATGGGAGCTTTGATGTGTCTGTGAATATTTTCGTCTCCATTTTGTGCAAGCTTTGAACTTGTTGCAAGTTGAAATGACTTTGAGGGACCCTAATTGAGACTGTGGCTTAAAAATAGGAACTTTGATGTCTCTCTGAATATTTGTGTCTCCATTTTGTGCAAGGTTTGAACGTGTTGGAAGTTGAAATGAATTTCAGGGACCCCAACTGAGTATGTGTCATAAAAATAGGAACTTTGATGTCTGTGTGTGTGCTTGTGTTGTTTTGGACTGGACCCTTTTTTTTGGCGTATGATTATTTGTGCATTTCATAGGAAGCATACTCAGTGCTGGAGGCAGTGCACCTTTTGAAAATGCATTGTCATCAGATTGGGCTGATGTGGTGGATGGCTTTCAAAAATCAGCTCTAGAATCGCGACTGGGGATACCTCTTATGTATGGGATTGATGCAGTTCATGGTAACAATAGTGTTTATGGTGCTACCATATTTCCTCACAATGTTGGCCTTGGAGCTACTCGGTTAGTATTCACTTTTCCTTATGCTTTTAAACTCAATTAGCAGAAAACAGTGAAAGGGGTTAGACTTTAGATAGCTAAGTAGTATGACTAAGAAGTTCCAATGTGGCTCTCATACTGAAGAGAGGGGAAGGCACTAAAAAAAGAAATGTGCTAACTTCATAGAAATGATGCTGTAATAATTTGCTGGATACACTAAATTACATTGGCATTTGAGTTGATGTAGTAGTCCACTTTTCCCCCCTTGAAATCAGTTCTTAATTTTCATTGGCGGCATGCTTGTAGAGATGCTGATTTAGTTCAAAGAATTGGAGCTGCTACGGCACTTGAAGTTAAAGCAAGTGGAATTCACTATAATTTTGCTCCTTGTGTGGCGGTAAGGCATTGCAATCAACTAGTCATTCTATGCCTGAATGAATTGTACCAACGAGCTACAGAGTTTATGCTGCTTTTGCAAAGTGGCATTTCTTGGATGCTCCATTTTGTGCAAGCTTTTTAGAATTTGAAAATTTTGCAAGCAAACTTAGCTCTGCCCCTGATTGCACTCATTAGTCTTTGTTGTTCATCAGTGAACACTATGTAATTTGCAGTGAATTCTTGACTGGTAGCATTATAATGACAACATTTCCCAAGAATCACGAACTTTCCAATCATTTCTCATTGATCATACCAATTCTAGTAGTCCAATGAATATGGGATTTAAAAAGTTTTTAGTTCAGAAACTGCAGATGTATATTATTATATATATTCAGAAAAGATTTACATATATGTCTTTAACTTTATATCAGTTCCGAACCGGAGTTAAAACAAGAAGGATGATTAAAATAATCTATGTTTCACAGTTTTTTATTTCTTTAAGTTTTTCACTTTTAATTTCTCTATCTAAACAATAAAGGAATGGCAATTTACTTGATTAAATATGCAGGTCTTGAAAGATCCTAGATGGGGAAGATGCTATGAGTGTTACAGTGAAGACACTGAAATAGTCAGAAAGATGACTTCCATTGTTTCAGGTTTGCAAGGCCAGCCACCACAAGGACATAAACATGGATACCCTTTTGTGGCTGGAAGGTAGGCAAAACCATTCTTATAAATTTTAACAAAATATTTTCTTTTAAAAATATTGAAGAATTAACTATTACTGTCCCGATAACAATTTATTCTGACACTTGGCAGCAGGATGACTATGTCTTTTTCTTCTGATCATTTTCCCATTTATTGCCTTTAGGGGGAAAAAAATTCCTTCTTCTGTTCAGTTGTAAAATATGATTTCCCTGAAGTTTTCATTCTATCAATGTTTTGTTACATTTTTTCCAGTTTATATATTTTCCTATTTCTTCATTCTTCACATGGCTTGGACTTATCATTATTTTCAAAAAATCTTAACAGAGTAATGGTCATATATCTTTCTTTATCAATCTTTTCATCTTATATGTAAGTTATACTTCAGGAACAATGTTATTGCATGTGCGAAGCATTTTGTTGGAGATGGAGGTACTGATAAAGGTGTAAATGAGGGAAATACTGTATTATCTTATGAAGACTTAGAGAGAATTCACATGGCACCTTACTTAGACTGCATTTCCCAAGGAGTTTCAACCATTATGGCATCCTATTCTAGCTGGAATGGACGCAAACTCCATGCCGACCATTTTCTTCTAACTGAAATCTTGAAAGAAAAGCTAGGTTTCAAGGTAAAATAACTATTAGACGTATTGAAAATAAATAAGTCTCACATTGCTATATGAGTCTTCTGGAATTGTTGTAGTTTCTCTATATAATAAAGCCTCCACTATGATATTGTAACGCTTAGAATTAAACATTGCCTCTTGTGTTGGAAATCGACACACAATCGAAATAGAAAAGTGAAAAGGAAGAAGAGTGCACACACGATTTATCCTGGTTCATCCAATGTAGGCTACGTCCAGCTTATCTGTACTATATTCTCCTCACTGATACTCGTTACAAGTCACTCAGTTTACAAGGGGAATATAAATAGGATTTAGAAATCCTAACAACAGCTATTCATGGACCCAAGCCCAAACTACTAACAACGAGACCCTAGTTGGCTTCCTGCTGACCCCACCAACAAGGGTCGTCATTTGAATGGAAGAATGAGCCATACCTAACATTTTGATTCCTTGTTATTCAATAATAGCCCTAATAATCTCATCTCATTATCACGGGCCAAATTGTCAAGTTGCATTTGCATCAACATGCTTGAAAAGTATGTGATCGAATTTTATATATTGGCGGTTATTTTCTGTATAAAATGGATAATGCAGAAATCTTTTCTCATTTTCTGTTCATTCTTTCTTGTTGAAAAGATGGGGCTTTTCAGGTTTTCTTATTTCTGTTAGATATAAAAATTATTCATAAACCTCCATCTAACAGCTTAAGCTTTTAGGATATTTGGGGTGTTAGAGCTTCCGTAACTGAGTGGGAATTTAATCCTTGCCGTTCCCATTCATACACACTTCAAGTACAAAAGGATCTTGTGTGAAGGCAAGGGTGTGGTAGATATAAAAGTCATTCAGTAGCCTCCTCCACTTGACATCTTAAGCTTTTAGGACTATTGATCATTGACAATTTTGAGAAAGTTTCAAAAAGATATGATAGCAATAACTGAATTTGTTTTTCTTTTTCATTTTGTTTCTGGATTTCATTGTAAGATTTATTTTTTTTAATCCAGACCATTTATGTTATAGGGTTTTGTGATTTCTGACTGGGAGGGACTTGACCGTCTTTGTCACCCTCATGGGTCAGATTATCGACACTGCATCTCCTCTGCCATCAATGCTGGAATTGACATGGTATAAATCCTCAGTTCCAAGAATCTTTTACCATATTGTTTTTTTAATCTGTTTTCATCTATTCAAAAATATATGCAGGTGATGGTGGCTTTTAGATTCGAACAATTCATTGAAGATTTGACCTTTCTAATTGAATCAGGTCAAGTACCAATAAGCAGAATTGATGATGCTGTTGAGAGAATATTGAGAGTAAAGTTCGCTGCTGGTCTTTTTGAATTTCCTTTAAGTGACAGATCTTTGCTAGATATAGTTGGTTGCAAGGTAAGCAAAAACTTAGCATATAGTGAACAGTTCTTTCCCATTGTTTAGGCTTACGTTTTCATTTGAGGATATAAATATATTTCTGTTTCTGATCAAGAATGTTAGATCATAACCATAATTTTTTGCCCATAGTTTTAAGAGTATATGTAGGTTCTTCCATTGCACTGGTTTTGCATCCCACACATCATCAGAAAGATTATTTCTCTAGTTCCTTGTGGATAAAGTTGTATTTTTTGATCTAGTATTAATTGCCTTCACAAATTCTCCTAATACATGGAAAAATCTTCTCATATATGTTAGTGATTCAGTTTGCCTTACTCCTTTCTATATTTTAGTTTTCCTTGAGTGTAAATACTTCAATGTTAAAGAATGACTTTTAGTCAGACTGTTTTCCATTTTTTGTCTTTGCCAATTTCAAGTGAGCTTTGTTTCATTTTTAAAATATCAACATCATTACAGCAAGTGGTGTAAATTATTGTTGCTAACCTCTGCATATATTTAAATAAATTGAAGTGAGTGATTGAAAATTGATTCTTCTCCTGCATGGTTCTCATTTGATCCATCTCCAGAAAGATTATACTTCTGGTGTACAAAAAACCATTACCGGGGGGAATAGAACTTCCCTATCCTAGAATATAAAATGGAAAAGAAAATGTAGAAATGGAGAGACAGAGAAAACATGTGGTAGTATTATTATAGATGAGAGATTTAGTTCTCTCACGGCAATTTCAACTGATGTCCCAGTAAATATATTTTAATTTAGGATGAATTAACCCAAGAAATGGTTCATCAAGTTTATATATTAACCATCTATGATTAACCACTATTGGTTAATCATACTATGTTTGCCAGGATATCCTAAATTTTAGTTCTCCCAATAATATTTGAGGTAAACATAAATGGCTGGAAACAATATTTTTCTGAGAGCTCTTGAAAGCATAAATGCTTCAAGTTAGATCACTATGAAGTAAAGGGATAAAAAACATAAATTAGTGACACCGGCTCTGATATCGAAAGCGCATAGAAAATATAGCTAAACGGAAAGATGGGATTTTACAAAAGAGTAACCCTCCGTTCTTAATTTCTAATTATCAAAGTAACAAAATTCAACTTCTAGAATAAGGGTCTCAAGCACCCTTTTATAGACTAATTCAAAATTCAAAATTCAAAATCAAAAATCCTGAAAATAAAAAAAATCCTAAAATAAATATACCGGTAATTAACTTCTAAAAATAAATAAATAATTACAATTAAATCATTCAAAACACGTCCTAAATCTTATATCTCAAATCATGTCAAACGTGTTGCTTTCACTTGAAAAAAGAAGGATAATATTATATGAAATTGTGTATTACAACTGTACAAGAGCTCTTTATTTAAAGAGGCTATATGACTTAATGGGCTAAGTTCAAAGAAGATTCTAGAATTGAATGAAATAATAAAATAAAATAAATAATTACAATTATTTACGACACTCCTCCTCAAGCTGAGAAATAAATATTTATCATTCTCAGCTTACTAATAAGCTCTTGAAAACTTTCTGAAGGAATCCCTTCGTCAGACTATCAGCTAATTAACTCCAGAAGGAATGTATGGAGTGATGATCAACCCGCTATCAAGCTTCTTTTTAATAAAATGGCGGTTGACCTCAATGTGCTTAGTTCGATCATGTTGAACTAGATTATGAGCTATACAAATGGCGGACTTATTATCACAAAGCAGCTTCATAGATCCTTCATATTTTATTTTGAGATCATCAAATGTAATTCTCAACCACAATAATTCACAAATGCTTTGAGCCATGGCTCAAAATTCAGCTTTTGCACTTAACTTGGCAACCACATCCTGCTTCTTACTCCTCCATGTCACTAAGTTACCACAAAGAAACATACAATAACTAGTGGTAGATCGACGATTAGTCACGGATCCAACATAATCGGCATCAGTATAAACTTCTAAAGAGAGATTGCCATCATGCCGGAACAATAGTCCTTTCCTAGGAGTGGCTTTAAGATACTGAAGAATTCTCTCCACTGACTGCATGTGTTTTTCTTTTGGATTATGCATGAATTGATTCACAATACTAACAGCATAAGCAAAGTTTGGTCTAGTATGAGCCAAATATATCAATCTTTCAACTAGCTGTTGATATTGTCCTTTATCAACTGGAGGACTCTCCTTTTCATAACTCATCTTGTGTTCTGCTCAATAAGAGTACTAGAGGGTTTACATCCAAATTTTTCTGCTTCTTTAAGAAGATCAAGGATATATTTTCTCTGGCTAATAAAAATTCCTTCCTTTGAATGAGTTACCCCTATCCCCAGGAAATATCTCAATTTTTCAAGGTCTTTAATTTCAAACTCAGAGGCTAGTCGTGCTTGTAGAATATGTCTCCCCGCGATATCATCGCCTGTTATAATAATATCATCAACATACACAAGGAGCACAGCGAGCTTCCCATTTTGAGAGTGCTTATAGAAAAGTGTGTGATCTCCTTGACTCTGTTTGTATCCTAAGGGGGTGTTTGGTAAGAGAGTTTTTTTGGGTGCCTAGGAAAGTTGAGATAGGTTTCCTAGTTGACCATGTTTGGTAGGAGGCTTTAAAAAATTTGCCCATCATTCGGATTTGCATAGCAATCTCAATTTGTGTGTAAAATTGAAAAAATTTGCCATATCAGAATACCACCCAGAAAAATTTTGAGGGTGGTATTCTCATTACCCCGTCAAACCAAAAAATAGGGAAAAAAAAGTAATGGACACAAATATTCATTCTCAAAAAACGTGCCAAAAGAAAGCGGAAGAGATAGAGAGTTTTCTTTGTATTTAGTCAAGGTTTAGTTTGGTAATTTCATCCCATTTTTCCATCAATATTTTACCTTCAACCAAACATAGACTCAGAAAATTTAACTCAATTTTTCCGGGAATATTTCGGCCTCCAAAACAACTTTTTTTTAACTTTTCTACCAAACTCACTTTTCCACCATATTTCTAGTAATTGTATTTTCTTGGTAAAAAAAAAATTTTCCTCTACCAAACGTCCCGTAAGGCCATTATAACCTTAGTAAATCTCTCAAACCAGGCACGAGGAGACTGCTTCAATCCATACAAAGCCTTTTTTAACCTGTAAACTTTATTTTCTCCATCCATAGAGTCAAAACCAAGCGGGATTTCCATGTAGATCTCTTCTTCTAAGTCTCCATTAAGGAAAGCATTCTTCACATCAAGTTGATTCATATCCCAGTTGTAATGGGCAGCAAGGGACAACAAGGCTCTCGCAGTATTCATCTTTGCAACTGCGGCAAAAGTTTCTTCATAATCAATGCCATAGGTCTGAGTGTAACCCTTGGCGACTAATAGAGCCTTATATCTCTCAAGAGTACCATCAGAATTATACTTTAGGGCATAAACTCATTTGTACCTTACTGCTTTCTTTCCGTCAGGTCTATCAACAACCTCCCATGTTTGATTTTTCTCCAAGGCATTCATCTCCTCTTGCTTGGCTGGAGCCCAATTCTCATCTTTTAATGCTTCATGTACTGATTTTGGGATTGGGATAGAATCTAGTGCTGAAATAAAGCTTTTGCGCTGCATAGAAAGGTTAGTATAAGAGACAAAATGAGAGATAGGGTGTTGGGTACAAGAGGGACAAGATCTTTGGATACAAAATCTTTTTCCTTTTCTTAGGGAAATGGATAAGTCATCAGAGGTAGTGGGTAAGCTATCAGAAGCAATAAGCAAATCATTAAAGGCAATAATATTAGGTTTAGAAACAGGAGAGGCAATATTAGGTTCAGAAACAAGAGGTTCAGGACTTACCAGTGGTTCAGACGATTGAGGTTGTTGGTAAAGCAATGTGGGTTGTCTCCTCATGTGATATACCAAATCAGGTGTCAAAATCTTCCGTATCTCAGGTGTATTTGAAGGATCAGACACAGGAGGGTCAGAAACAAGAGATGTAGGAGTAGATATGGAAGGTCCGGACTTAAAGAAGCAAGGTGATGAGTCTGTTGAAAAACTGCTTTTCCCCTGAAGATGAAGACCTAGGAAAAAGGATTCAGATTCATGAAAGTTAACATTCATAAAAACAAAATATTTCCGACTGGCAGGATGATAACACTTGTAGCCTTTCTTATCAGGGGTATTACCAAGGAAGACACACTTAAGAGCCCTAGGATCCAACTTTCTGCGATGTTGTTTATGAATATGGACAATGGCAACATACCCAAACACTTGTGGCTGGAGACTCTGCATAATGGGAACAACATGAAAGAAGGAAGTTATAGAATGAATAGGACGGGTATTGTTAAGGACTCGTGAAGGTAAGCGGTTGATCAAAAAAGCTGCAGTGAGAATGACATCTCCCCAGTAGCAATTGGTACATGATTTTGAAAAAGTAAGACACAAGCAACTTCAAGAAGATGACTATTCTTCCTCTCAGCAACTCCATTTTTTTGAGGGGTATCGACACAAGTAAGTTCATGAATCATGCCTTGATCATGGATGAATTGGGAAAGACGCTAATTGACATATTATGTACCATTGTCGGACCTAAGTCTTTTAATTCTCTTACTAAATTGGGTCTCAATCATTTTATAAAATTGAGATAATAACTGTGGTTCGTCAGACTTCTCATGCATTAAGTAAATCCAGGTTACACGAGTACAATCATCAATAAAATAGACAAATCATTTTTTACCAAAAATACTAGGGACTTTAGAAGGACCCCAAGCATCAGAATCAATAAGATCAAAAGGCTTAATACTTTGAATGGTACTAGAAGGAAAAAAGACACAATGAGTTTAGCAAACTCACAAACATTACAATGAAAAGACTCAACAGACTTGGACAAAAATAATTATGGAAATAAAGACTTAAGAAATGAAATTAAGGATGCCCCAAGCGTTTATGATGAAGCCAAATCAAAGAGTCAGTAGTAGACTGAGAATGAGTCAATAAGGTGTGATCCTTAGCATACTATGCAGAAGATTCTAGCACCAGATTGTACAGCCTACTCTGCTCCTTATCAACCCCAATTGTCTTCCCAGTGGCAAGACCCTGAAAAACACAGTGAGTAGGAAAGAATGTTACAGTGCAATTTAAATCTCTGGTAATTTTATGGACAAAAAGAAGATTAGTAGAGAGTTTAGGAACATGAAGAACATTTTGAAAATGTAAAGAAGGTTTGAACTTTTAAGTATATGTTACCAGAACTTGCAACTGATATATGTGAGCCATCAGCTACGGCTATTGTATGGGTGCCAATAGTAGGGTTATAAGAGTAAAATGAATCAGCACAAGAAGTCATATGATCAGTAGCACCAGAATCAATAATCCAAGAATGTTCAAAATCAATACATGAAGTAAGAAAAGAATGAGTAGTGGAGATCATACCAGTCATAGTCAAAACACTAGTGCTAAATAGCTTACTCAGAGAATCAAGCATATTTCTAATCCGTTCCAACTCATCTTGGCGAATAGAAATAAATTCAGTAGATGCACCATTGTAATCCGCCATAATGCTAAAATAACCTCAGAAGGAACAAATCAGTCTTAAAAGGAATACAAACAATTGATGAAAAATTACCCAAAGGTATCTGGAGAGTCCAAACAGAGGCAAAATTATCAGATCTGCAAAAAGGAACCAAAAAAGGGCAAAAAGACTGCAACTTAAGGCGAAAACCACACAAATGCAAAACTAAACAATGTTGTAGAAGGCTCTGAACGTCCAAAACGGCAACAAAAAAAACCAGATCTGATCAAAGGAGGCGCGAGTGGCCAAAAAGATCTGATTTTTATGGCAAGATGAAAGACCCACTACTGAAAAGGTGTCTAATCAAGTCGGTGAGGACAAATATGTAACCGAGGAGTCACGGCGATTCCAACCTAGGTGGTCCGAGACTGATTGATGGCGTCACGCGCCAAGAAGGTGTCGGCTCGTGAGTCCCACGCACAGAGAGTCTGGGAGGGCACGAGAGCGCGTGTGGCTTCTGACGGTGATGGGATTTTGTGGCGAGGTCTTCCAGCAGTGGCGGTTCTGTCTGTGGTTGGTCGGAGTTCAAAGGTTGCTGGAATTGTACTGTTCCGGTGAAAAAACAGGTGCGGTTTGGCCTTTTTGAGCTGATTTGGAGCGTCTGTTGTCAGTAGAAAGGTAGATCGGAAAAAAAAAAAAAAAAAAGCCAAACAGTGGTCCCCTCGGTCCAAAAAATTTCCCCCGAAAATTTTTCCGGTGGCGGCAAGAGGCAAACAATTAAGGTTCCGTTCTAAAGGCGGCAGTCGCGGAAGCAGAGCCCTCAGGATCGAGAACTCTAATACCAACTTGAAAAGAGAAAGATAATATTATATTGAATTATGTATTACAACAGTACAAGAGCTCTCTATTTAAAGAAGCTAAATGACCTAATGGGCAAAGAAGATTCTAGAATAGAATGAAATAATAAATAAAATAAATAATTACAATTTACAATTATTTACAACACTTTCCTTTTCTTGTCAAACAAATCACAATCATATCTGCTGCTTTATTTGGACTTGGATTTGATCGTAATTTGTTATATTTCAAATTACTGCTTGTTTCAACAATTGGGCCATACTTATTAGGCCACAATTCTGGTTGTCTACGAGCTTCTCGAATTAATAGTTGGGCCATGTGCAATGTACCAACTGTAGGTGCATTAGGCTCCTTCTAAAGTTTATAAGTATGTACTTGAAATTTCATGGCATTTTAATTTTTCTATGTTCCCTGATCAATTGTTTGTAGGTATCATGACTTCGTCAAAAATTTTAACTTTGGTTTACCATAATACTATTTTTTTCAGCCACATAGAGATCTAGCACGTGAAGCAGTTCGAAGGTCCTTGGTTCTGTTGAAAAATGGAAAAGATCGTAGCAAACCTTTCCTTCCATTGAACAGGAATGCTAAGAGAATCCTTGTTGCCGGAACTCACGCCGATGATCTTGGATATCAATGTGGAGGTTGGACTAAAACTTGGTATGGATGTAGTGGACGGATTACAGTTGGTAAGCCATTACTTTTGTTGTTTTCCTAAAGTTGTTTGTTACCTCCCAAAATCTGAGAAACTTTGTTGCTTCTGGTCTATATTTTTTGGCTGCTTAGGAAGAGTAATTGTTTCTTATTACCTAATATGTCTAGAAATTCATTTAGTCCATCATTCCCTCCCTAGTTTCTCAGTCCTTGTCTTAAATACATATTTATGGAGAAAATGAAGATTGATTTATAAAACCATTAAATGTAACCTCACTCAACAGCTTAAGCTTTTAGGTTAAAGTGGAACTTTACATGGTATCAGAATTTTGGTGTCAAGGGTTCGATCCTCACCGCCCCTATTTAGTTAATAATTAGTTTCTTAGCACAAGTAGATTGGGTCTATGTATTATCCATCCGTCAAGCCCAATAGACTTTTGTGTGAAAAGGCGTGTTAGAGAAATATAAAATCATTCAATATAACCTCACCCAACAGCTTAAGCTTTTGGGTTAAAATGGTTCTTTACAATAGCTAATGTTAATGCTATATTTTTTTTCCTACTTTATACTATTTTTTGTTTTTTAACCTTTCTTAAAAGTGGTTGTTACATATATCTTACACGTACCATTTCAGGGACAACAATCTTGGATGCTGTTAAGGCAACTGTGGGAGTTGAAACAGAAGTTATTTACCAGAACTATCCATCAAAAGAAACCTTAGAACGTAATGACATCTCTTTTGCAATTGTAGCTGTTGGTGAAGCTCCTTATGCTGAGACTTTGGGTGACAATTCAGAGCTTGTAATCCCCTTCAATGGAGCTGATATTATAAGCTTAGTTGCTGACAAAATCCCAACTCTGGTTATTCTGATATCTGGAAGACCCCTAGTCTTAGAGCCATGGCTTTTGGGAAAGATAGATGCTCTCGTTGCTGCTTGGTTGCCAGGAACTGAAGGAGAGGGAATCACAGATGTTATATTTGGCAGTCATGACTTCAAAGGTCAACTACCAGTGACTTGGTTCAGAAGAGTTGAACAGCTTGATCAGCTAACTAATGGAGTTAATTCATGTGAACCCTTATTTCCTCTTGGCTTTGGTATGACATATAACTAGGAGAATTTAGATGAATGAGTGCTGAAGTACCCAAAGATAGACCGAGGACTTCATATAATAAATTTCTGAATAATAATTTCCCTCCATATCAGTTAATCACATGGGTTCAATTGAGATGGGTTCATAAGAGTTGAATAGCTTGATCAACCAGTTGGAATTTCTTGTGTCGTATATTATTTCCCCTTGCTTTGGGTTCACATATATGATATAATTAACCCCACCATGCATGTATGGTTTAATTAATTTCCCTTTACAATTTGTATACCCACTCATTAACTTTGTGTTTGATTGAGCTTTTTACCACTAGACCAAAAGCTACAGGTGTTAGTCAGAGGACAACTCTTTCTACTTCTCTCTACTAGTCGCAAGCGTCATGGTTCGATTTGACTCCAACTCCACATTGAGCCTTGCCAAGACAGGATATTAGCCTCTTCAACAATTCCTCCCTCCTCCAACACTTGCCTCTCGCAAAGTGTTATCTCGAGAAATTGAACCCATGACTTTAGCTTTGACACCAAGTATTAGATCGAACGCTTACCGTTAAACCAAAAACTATAGGCTATAGCTGTTAGTCAGGGCGCTTTCTACTTCTACCAACTCAAGCATGATGGTTCGATTTGACTTTGAACCTACATTGGGCCTTGCTAAAGTAGGATGTTGGCCTCTCCAACACTTTGTTGTATTGAATAACATGAATTGTGTGCATGACCATACATAATTTTGTGGATGATCATAAATACATGAAAAGTATTAGAATTGGTTTATTTTGGGTCCCATGTCATGTATTGGATATATTAGACCTACAATTTAAGTTTTCTATTCTTAACCCAGTAGATCTCATAATCTTATTGAGAAGACATGTCCTTTACCGTTTCTGTTTGTCCATAAATCTTTAATCAGTAATCATTAACTTTGTTGCCCTATATTCTGGTTTATTCCCACGATGGATATCAAATCTTTCAGATACAATTGCATTACCTAATGATATTGAGATTTGATGCACCAGCTTTCCGTCCTTTTCTATTCTGTTTCAATGTGCCTAACTTAAGTCACACTAAACTACATCATTTCGAGATTCTGGCCCAATGAAAGCATAGAGAGAATCCTACCCACATTCTCATAACCCTTAGGTATTATTACATGTGTTGAAATGGAGCAATACATAACATATATGATTTATTTATTTATTTTGTGGTTCATAACATATGGATTTTGTTTTGTGTTTATAGATTTTAAAAATAAAACAGAATAGGATATGATAATAAAATGTGGTACATTATTTTTCTACTAAAAAAGGTAGAATCAAGGAGAACATAACATAACATAACATAAAAATTCCATTAAACACTACTTTTGATTAAAAATTGTATTTGCGAGGACTTGAGCTTTTGGTGTCCTACTTTTGTTTGAACTTTGATTCAATTTTAAAGGGACTACAATGTCCTATTTTTTGAAGGATACGTTTAAGCATGTTAATTGTTAAATGAAATGTTTAAGAGATGATATGATAAACAATACCCACCTAAGAATTTTTCCTATCATGATTCCAAGACAGAGGGAAAATTATGTTCATTATATGCTAACGAGCTTGTAATAATGTCTGCCACTGTTTGATTCTCCACTAAATTACTTATTGCCTATCCTTAATTAGATGCTTACTCCTCCATTATGCCAAAAACAAAAATTGTAGCTACTGAATCAACTTGGTTACAAAGGGTCAAGTCTTGATGGAAATAAGAATAAAGTGGCCAAGATGCTTTTTAATTCCACTTGCAAAAAGCTTTACCTTTTGTAAAAGATTGTGATCGGTCTTGTCATATGCTGTGTGAAAGCCTAGTTGCAGGCCCATTTGGCTTAAACCGCCATGCATGGTTGTTGTTTTATTAGACTTTGAAGATTTTATGTTTATAGCCAATTTGAAAAGGAAGACAAGGGTCATTTTAAAAAACGTCAATAATTTCTCCCACTACCAGCTTTGGGAGAGGTTTAAAGTCTTAATCCTGAACCCGCTCCGAATCGGATTAGTTGCGAAGCGATGAACCGATTGGAATATTTCCAAAAAAAGAACGTCAATAATTTTGGAATTTTTATGAATAATTGATAATAAAGTTAGAAAAAAGAGAAGTACTACTTTTATAAAGGGTCACATTTTTCTTCAAAAGAAAGTTTTTTGCTTGTTTAATGCATATTTGCGCCTTGTGTATCCTAAACAACCTACAAGAAACAACGGAATAACATGTTAGAATTGTGCCCCCCCCCCCCCCCCCCCCCCCGCCACATTTTTTAAAAAAAAAAAGTGCTAGATTTAGTGGATGATGTTAACTGGTTATACAGAATGTAATTCACCACTCCCATATTCATAATAAAATTTACACTAAGGACCACCTTGCTAAAATGTTAATGTGTCAGTAATCCATTTAATAACCAAAATTATGTTATTCACACTTTTTCATGAACAGATCAACAGAAAAATTAAATACTTTGTCATTTTGTTTAGATACCTGTCTTTGAAACTCAACAAACTTGTCCATAGAGTGAATTGCTTGCATGACTTTGCATTATGCACATTGCACAAATTGAAGCATAGATGCTTAAATAGCTCCTTGAAAAATATTTGAGATCAGTCCAAAACAAAGAAACAGTGGAAATGTGCACAAGGAATTTGTCAAAGCATATCCTATTCCTAATCCCAAGCTTGTAGAAAGTGGTACAGATGTGGTCAAAATAGCCTTATTACAAATAAGAAAAACTTATCATTGATGATTTGCATTTCTAATCAAATGCAAACAATAACTTCTATTTCAATTATTGCTGCTTTGTATTTACTCGGTTGTGAATCAATGATGTAATTCATTAATTTATAGATTCTCATTCCAAGGAAAGGTTGTAAGTAGTCTTTGTGCAATGAGGAGAGAGAGAGAGAGAACATGTTTCAGAATCCTCTGCACTTTACAAATTTAATCATGCAGAATAAGTGGTAATTGACCATCACATTGCATTAGTATATATTAATATTAAGTAAACTTAATTAGAAGGTAGCCAAGTGGCAATTGACCATCACATTAATATATATTAATCTTAGAGTAAACTTAATTAGAAGGTAGCCACAAAACCACTGTATTTGCAACTTCATTAGTTATTTTATGTCAAAGATAGTCAACCACAGTACTTACTTTGTGCCATTGGATATTTATTTATAAACAGGTCCACAAAGTACTCTTTGCTGGAGGGAAGGAGGGGGTATATGGGGAGATTCTTCATTCTCATTTTCAAAGAAAAGCAATATGTGGTAAATGAATTTTTCTTATCCAAAAGAGAATCCCAGGACTCGAACTCCTTTGTGAGTATATATAAATAAGTAAATCTTGATTATTATATCATAAATAAAAGGCAAGACTAACTCATAAACTCATGTAAACTTTTTTAAAATAATTATATGATATTTAAGTAATTTCTACCATTGAGGGCAAGCTCCGATGCACAAGACTCTCCAATTTGTGAGACTAGGGATGAGGATCGATTGTTCGTAACCTTACTCTTGTATTTTTGCAAAAAAGTTATTTCATATAAATGAATCCGTGACTTTTCGGTCTCAAGGAACAACCCTATCGCGGCTCCAAAGCTTATCCTCTAATATCTAATTCTTTTACCCATGTAAAGCAAAATTAAAAATATTTCACTAGTTTAATTTTTTTGACAAACATTTGCTAATCTAATGCTAAAAGACACACATCATGGCAGTACGGGTTCAAGTCGCACATCACCCAATATGCAACTTATGCAAATATTAAAGTATGTCTATCATGTGTTGCGCTCTACAATAAACGCATCACTTCCACGCGCTCAAGTCGTGCACTTCCCCATGCGTAACTTGTGGCGGGTGCACACAGGCTTTTGAACAAGTCCCGCATGAGGGTGATGCGCGACTTGAACCCATACTATAGAATGCACGTCTTTTTGTATTAAATTGATAAATAATTTATCAAAAAAATTAAGGTAAATAATTTTCTTATCAACATCAACATCACCTTTATCCGAAATTAATTAGGGTCGGTGGTAGATGAACCCACATGAAAGATACAAAACGGTTGAAAAAAATAAAATAAAATAAAATACAATAAAATAAAATAAATATATATATATATATATCTATATATATATATCTATATATATATATATATATATATATATATATATATATATATATATATATGGGATAAGATCCTTTGACATCAGTGTCAAATTTTGAAATTTGACACCAAATCCTAACCATTGATTTTCGTCAATCAACGATTATCATTTATTGGGAACCAAACTTATTAATTACTATTAATTCTCAATAAATGATAATCGTTGATTGGCGAAAATCAACGGTTAGGATTTGGTGTCAAATTTCAAAATTTCACACTGGTGTCAAAGGATACTGCCCCTATATATATATATATATAAATAAAAGTAAAAAAGAAAGGGACAAGAAGAAGTGGGGGAGATGAAGGGGAAAAGGACTAAAAAAGAACCATCTGGAACATAGGAATAACAACGGGTCTAACCCTCCACCATACTTATAGCTTTTCTCCATTCCGTTCTAAGACATATCGTCCGCCAATCTATATCTCACTTCATTAAATCTTGTTTTACCACCTTCCCCCAAGTAAGTTTCAGCCTACCTCTATCTCTTTTTGTGTTGAGCTCTTGGTAACAAACTTCTGTTCTTACAGGTGCATCCAGGAGCCTTCTCATCACGTGCCCAAACTACCTCAATCTATGTTCTCTCATCTTCTCAGCTACTGGTACTACTCCGACCTTTCGTCGAATATCTTCATTTCTTATCTTATCCATCCTTGTGTAACCACACATCCACCTTAACATCCTCATCTCTGCTACTCCATCTTATGCTCATGTTGCCTATGTGCTGGCCAGCATTCCGCGTCATATAGCATTGCTGGTCTTACTGCCGTTTGATAGAATTTTCCTTTTAACTTAAGAGGGATTTTGCGGTCACACAAAAATCCAGATGCACTGCGCCATTTCATCCACTCTGCTCTGATTCTGTGATTTACATCCTCATCAATCTCTCCACAATTTTCTTATATTGTAGGAAAATAATTATCTTATCTTATAGAAACAAGATTGCAAGTGAGACCCATAAGTAAGAGGAGAGGAAAAAAAAAGAAATGGGACCCACTCATCTTTTGTGTGTGTAAGAAATTTAATTATCTCACGCAAAATGAGATAAATATAACCTAAAAATTAATCTGGTGAATAGTTACACAATTTGACTTAAATGAGTCAAAAAGCCCAAAGACTATGATTTGGACTTTAATAAATGTACACTGTACAAACAGTTTTATTACCATCATGCACGGACCAAAGACTTTGTTAAGAATATATTACCCCTCTAATCCCACGTGAATGGTGGTACCGTATGTTTATATTTGATTCTAATTAAATAATCTAATCCCACATGAATCTCACTTTGTAGTATCATATATTTGTGCATCTTAATCTTATCTTCAAAAGAACTATTGCTAAGGTACCAGATTATGGATCTTTCAACTCTATCTATACTATTTTCCTTTATAAACAATTCGAGTAACAGTAACCTTCACATACACATGCCTAGCTATTGTCCAAGTGTCTCTTAACCTGAAGTTAACATTTCATTTTAAACTTGGCTTAAAATCCAATCAATATTCTTCTACGACATCCAAAACATTTTATTTTAAACTTGGCTTGTAAAGTTGTTAAAGAAACAAATTGTCTATACCCTCATTCAAGTCCATAAACCGAGAAGGCAAGAACTAACTAATATTCTAATGTAAGATATTCACATAGAACTTGGTAAAAAGCACAAACACTGTACTAGTGAACTGAACAAAAAGTACTGGTTCTGACCATAAATAATTCAATACAACCACTATATCATGCATGGGAATAGTGTTGGGAGGATTGCATTTGGAAAACCATGTTTTGTGTCTGGGGTACTAAGTAAGAAGACTCATGAAGAGGACTTCTGTGCAGATTTTGGCACTGCATTTTAAACCCATAGGGGTTAAGCCCATAAGGAGACATGAACACTTGTTCATGTGAAGGATTGAGAGCCATAGCCACTCCTTCATTTGGCTGATTATTCCACTGAAAATGCACTCCAGATGTGGCAGCAGTAGAATTTGGCTGCTGGTGTGAGAGCATCATAGAATGCTGTGGTGAAGTGGATCTCTTGCTGTCTTCTGAAGGAGTTGTTGTTCTTGTGGTTTCTGTGAGATTAACTGTTGTTATGTCATGGATGCTAGCCCTCCTCTTATCTTTGCCTCCTGAAAGTTGCCTTATGAAGTACTTCTGAGCATGGCTAGCAACTTGAGTTGGGGTTCTAGTCATAACAAAATTGCGAGAAATATTTCTCCAATCACCTTTCCCATACTTTTTCAAACCAAGTAGAAACAACCTGTGGAGAATTTCCATAATCAAATTCAAACCCAACAACTGAAATAAATATCAGATAAAATTTATTTGACTAGACTAACTACCACATGAAAAAGCTACTAAGATCTTAACACCAATAGGAAATATCTAACTCTTAATAACAAGACAGAAATGATTGCTCCTACTCCTAGGTTCATATAAAGTATATAAAACTGTAAACCACATCCAATAATTCTTGCTTTCCTTATATACATCATTTTTATTTTTATTTTCAAACTGATTTACATTTACAACAACCAAATAGTAAACTATATAGATTATATATATGAAATTAAAAGCAATAAGCTTACTTGTGTTCCTCTTCAGTCCATGGCACACCCTTCTTCCTTTCCTGATCAGGAGGTCTTCCTGAGGAGGATCTCTTTGCAGTGAGTCCTTTAAACCCATCATCATAACCAGGAGTGTTCACCCAGTCTAAGGTGAAGGGTGAGGTGGTGGTACTGTAGCCAGGAACTGGGATCAACCCAGCTTCTATGTTACTAATATCTGCTTCTAATTCCTTGTACTGCTTCATCACATCACCAACTGTTTTCCCTGGTATCATTTCAGCAACTTTGTGCCACCTATCAGGGGTGTCCTTATCATACACAGCAAGAGCATTTTCAAACAGCTTGTTCTCTGCAGGAGTCCATTTAGTGTTCCTGTGATCTTCCAAAAACCAATTGGTGTTGTTGGGGTTGTGAATATATGGTGCAGGAGGGAGGATTTCCATTTCCCACTTCATCACACCAAAGTTAGAAACACAAACTATGTGAGCATGTAAAAGAAGGTTTTAGCCAATTCAGGGATGGTTTTATGTGTATGAGCCTCAAAAGATTTTCACTTGAAAGATCAAAACTTTAAAGGAAACAGGGTTGATTAACAGGAAGAAAAAAGGGGGAAAGCAGAGAGATATGAGAATTAGAGGTGGAGATTTTACCACAACAATATCAAGGATAAATCCACAAGCATTTTGAAAGGAATCAGAATACCTTTTTTCATGTAGAGAAAAGGAGTCATGCTCCTCAGGAATCTAGAAAAGACCCACTTTCAAAAATATCAAAGAGAATGCTCCAAATTGAGATTGAAGACTATTACCTAATTGGTCCAAGAATAATAACCCTAGAAACACTTGTGAGATCTAAACCCAATGAACTTCCCTCCCAGATACTAAAATGGAACTGAAACAAACCAAAAATCCCACAAAAAAATAACTTGAAAACTGCTTAGAATTCTTTTAGAAGAAAAGAAAAAATGACAACTTTCAGAGAGGAAAAAAATAAAAAGACTGACAACTCTTTCTGCAGCTTCAACTTCAGCTCAACCCAATTGGGAAAACAATTAGAAGAACAAAAGGGAAGATGCCTAAGACAATAAATGTGCAAAACCCAATTAGGCAAGAGCAGAAAGACTCAGAATTTATGAGGGATTGAAGAAGAAAAACAAAAACTGGTTTTAAAAAAAAAAAAAACACACTTTTTTTTTTCCCTCTTTATTTACTTTTCCTTTGATGTCAAAGCAACAAAGAAAAGAGAAAGGTAAAAAAAACTAAGCACAAATAAGGAATAGAGCCCCAAATGGAAAAGAGGGAAATATATGGAAGCTGAAAAAGTGAAGTCACCAAAGTTTCAAGGAATGAATCTTAATAACAAACTTTGCTGTTATCTTCTCAAAGAGGAGCCACCAAAGGAAGAGAACATTAAAACAAAAAACAAAACAAAAAACAGTGAATGAAGCTGGTGGGTTGTGATTGGGTGTTATGTGTGTGTGGATCCTGCAACTATATAAAAAGTTCCCTCTTATTATAATAGAGACCCTTGCTTCTTCTATGCACTTTTTATAAGAATAATAAAAAGAAATTATATATTTTTTAATACCCTGCTATTACATCACATATACTTGCAAATATTAATTTATTCATGTATTCAAACATTTTTTTTTTCTCTCTTTTGGTTAGGGGTGCTAAAAGAAAGGAGGATTGAATCTCATCATAAATGATGGAAGCTTTTTAGTTGTTGTGTTGCACTGGTCAATGCAACACCCTTATTGGTATATAAATCCATAGTTTGTTTGATTTAAGAAAAGTCTAAAGTCATATTTTTTATTTATGCATAAGAATTGATACTTACATTGTGTCATTAAAAAGAATTGATAGTTACATAATCTCGTATAATTCCTAATCAATTATTGACGTACCTAAAAAACAAACCTTAAGGTGATTTTTTAAGGGCTTGTTTGAATGAGATTTTGAAAAATAAAACAAAATTGTGTACTACTCTTTCTTCGGAAAGAGTTTATTTTTTAAAAAGAAGTCAAAATTATTTCGTGATTGGATTTAATATTTAGAAAAAAAAATTAAATCAAAAATTTAAATGTTAAAATAAAAATATGATATTTATAAAATTATTAAAAATATATATATATAAGTATTTTTTTCATATAGTGTTGGAATAAAAACACTTATAAACATAATAATATCATAATTAATTTGTCGTTATATTTTTTTAATTATTAATATCTTGATATTAATTAAGGCTTTAATATTTCTAAAGTGAATGTAGATAAGTTATCTACATTCGCACCCAAAACGACGTCGTTTTGGGTTGAAAAATTAAAAAATTATAATGAAAAAGACTATTATAACTCTGAAATAAATTATAATTACAAAAATATCTTGATTTTCGCCTCAAAATGACGTCGTTTTACTGTAGAAAAAGCGAACCCATAATTTAATTAGAAAAATGTTATGAAATTTTTTATTTGATTATTTTTATTAGACAATGTTCGAATCTGTGTGTTACAGTAACATAGTGGAGTCTTTATCAGATAGAGTGATTATAATATTACATAAGACTAATATAACAATGTGGGGATTCCTAGCAAACTATTTGGAATATTTCTATAATTTATATAAAGATAATATCTAAAAATAGAAAATAAATTATACATAATAATACAAATTCATAATCATTAATGATCAACTATTAGCACTAAAACAATTTTATACTAACAATAATTAAATTTAAATTCTTTAATGATATATAATACGTAATTAGATAATATAACAATTTTAAGAAAAAAATGAGTCAAATTAAACTCAAGCAAAATTAGTTACAATATAAATTGCTTGAAGTGTTGAATCATATAGAACACATAACTTCATATTTATGCCAATCCCAATTTTTTGATAGTATAGTTTTACATAATTAAATAGAGAAATGATCTGTTTACAAATTACATTAAGTATGACCGGTCATACACTCTTGATTAAAGTATGACCGGTCAGACATAGTGTAGTTTGTAAACAAAAAATTTGTAAATATAACTTTCCCCAATTAAATAACACAATAATTTTGATCACACAAAGTGTATAAACATATAGATTGAATGAATACATAAATATCTTATTGTTTCATAAATGAATAAGTATAATTTATGTAATTACGTGAATTGTTCCTCTCTTTTTTTAGAGGGTCTCTCTTTTCTCATGTTGTAGGAGAATTTTTTCTTCTACTATAGACACAAGACGTGATGGGTCTCACCTTCCATTAAAAACAAAAATAAAAAAGTTATTGCACACATTTCGATGTATCATTAATAGGAGAAAGAATTCTCCTATAACATTGAAAATTCTTTTCCCCTTTTTTAAAATATCAAATGGTATTTGAAACCTTAATGATTTGATTAATCCGATTTTAGATTTAAGTCTCTCTCTCCTCTCTCCATAAGCTGTGAATAATTGGACCGACTATTCTTTGAACAAATAAATTTAGGTGGTGTTTGGTAGGAGACATATTTTCAGAATGCTGGGAAAGTAAAAATGGGCATCTATGAATCTCATGTTTGGTACCTCAATTGATAAAATTTCCCTAAGAAAGCTATTTCCCCTGAAATCCTTTAACTGTGTAATTTTTGGATGAAAATATCATGGAAGAATACCAGCCAAAGGGTGATTTTCTTGAATTGATGGGAAAATTAGTTTTTTGATTCAGAAACTGAAACCGAAAAAAATTAGTTTTTCTTTTACAACTGATAAACTCACTTTGTGTTTTGCAACTATTTATAGCACAATGGAATCTGAAAATGGAGTTGTGATGGAGGACGAGAAACATGTTATTGGTGAAACAACTAAGGAGAACATAAATGAAGTTGAAAACGATTGTAATGCAGACAATCAGACCAATGGAGTATCTAAACCTGTAGGAGAACACAGTCATGGTAGGAAGCAAGATAGAAGTGAAGAGAGATTGAGAATAAATTATAAAAGGGTTACTTTCGTATTTTCAACCCATTTCTTCATCAATATTCTACTTTCAACCAAACATAGACTCAGTAAACTTAATCCAATTTCCCGGTAATATTTCAGCCTACCAAATAACTTTTTTTTAATTTTCCTACCAAACTCATATTCCACCATATTCAGTAATTGTATTTTCCTGATAAATTTTTTTTTCTCCTTTACCAAACGCCCCCTAAGATCAAACTGACACATAACTAAACCAATAACTTTTGAGTTTTTTTATTTTATTTTTTTCATTCCTTTCATTACTTCATCATCTTAACTAAAAACATTTTACCCAAACTACCAAAAGATAAATGTAAACCTGACCCGCCTTTTAACTAACTAAAATAAAGTGGTCATCTGTACTTAATGTTCACTTTGATGTATGTGATAATTGATTGATATTATATATGATCAAATGGAGTGAGTGTTGAATTTTTAGCTATTTCTTGCATATTTTCTCCTTACTCTCCTTTTATTTTTTAATAATTATTACACACTCTTAATCTCTCTTTCTCTAAATCATCCGTATACAATAATACCATTTTCTTATCGAAACGATTACATTTTCTTATCAAAATGATTATAAAAGATTTTAATTTCATAAACATCATATGACAACTTTCGTATTCCTTTTTAAACATTTTAACTTGTTAATGCTATAACAAAAAAAATAAAAATGAGAGGATTATACTTATCACTAAAAAAAATTTATCATTTTTTTTAATACAAATTTTTTTATCATTTTTACAACCAACTTAATCAACGATGAATCACAACTAAATTTAATGTTCACAATCAATTTTTATAATCCTAATTATCACTCTTCATCCTCTTTCACCTTCTCTCTAAGTCTAACAACTCTCTCTCTCCACCCTTTCTCTTTCGTCATTTTTGATCTCACACGAAGTTCTGCTCTTCTCAATAGGCAATAGTTCACACTAAAATTTGCGCCTAAGCTAGTGATACGTCTTACGGAGGTATGAACATTTCTCATGTCAATTCTTAAATACATCAAAATTAGCCACATAAAATTGATGAATTCAGTTGATTAAGGATGATGCACGGAGGGAGAGGAATTTTCGTTTTGTATCAGGTGCTGATTTTTGCCTCAATTCCAAACATCAACATGTTCGTGGATTCGCCGATAAATATAAATTTGGCATAACATATTGTTTCTTATAATCTTAATGAATTGCTCACGAAATAAGAAAACGGCGAAAGAAAAAGAATGGAGAGAGAGTTATCTAAAGAGAAAGTGAAAGAGTATAAAGAGTGATAATTAAGATTATGATCCAACGATAATTAAGTTTGTTGTAAAGATGATAAATTTTTTTAATAGTAAGTATAATCCTCTCCAAATTTATATCAAAAACACAACTATAAGAATCGGTTCAATATTTTTCTATTGTCATCCGTATATATTTATACAAATTAAAAATTATGTTCACTACATCACAATATACTCTCATAGCATTTTATTACTCTATCTTTTACATGATATTACGCATACATGTATATATATATACAGACAAGATTCCCTCTACTCCTTTAAAAGAACATGTTTTATTTTTAAAATTTATTCTATTGTTTGTTCATTCAAAAATATAATTATTTTTTTACAATGTCCAACAGAGTCCATATTATTTTATCAATGTTGAAGTGTTGGAGAGTAATACCAAAAGGTAGCCGCCAAAGCAACGGTTCAGATTGATAGAAAAATGTCACCCCACAAGTTGATGCATTGGGTCCCACATATGGTTGTAGCATTAGGATGCACTCACTACAAACCTTTTTCTTATTGGGCAGCCTCCCAAATAATTGCAGGTTTAGGATCTCTAGGAAACAATCAACATGTTTCGCTTTTCTATTGGATAGACAGCTCCCCAAATTCTAAAATACTTTTATATTATCATTCTTCATCTCTTAAAAACCAAATCACAAGACTTGATTCAACAAGTTAAGTTCATAATTAGATTTTAATTGAATTTTGTAGTATTTAAATTGAAAGCATAACTAATTCATGATATTACATTTTCAATTCTATTTTTACAATATTGATCAGTCTAGATAATTTTGTAATTTTTTAGATCTGATTTAATAATATAAAAGACAACTTTCCATTACAAACCAATGAGCTGGATACACATAATGTTGTGTGTCCCTTATAATGGTTGTGAGTTGGTGCGTTCTTAAGGGTTTTGTTTTTAAAGTATTTTCCACAATTATATATTAAAATATTTTCTCTTTAATTAAATTGTTAAATACTTGGTCATGGTTAATCTGTTTTATAAATTTCAATTTACTATTGAACTAAAATAACTACAAATCTTTATCTTCATTTTCCTTATTTTGTAAAATCTAATTTTTTTTATAAAAAAAATTCCAAACTAAAAAATACTGCTCTTAGTAGATAATTTGAATCACGATAATTAAATTTATAAGATAGACAATCTTTCTCTAACCCCAAAAAAATGTTA